GCAAAGCAAAGTGCCATCCGTGGGGAGGGGGGTGGGGGGAGGGGTATGGATATTTTTTGGGACTACTCAATGGAGTCCATGGAGCTCCACTAAGACCTCATCGACCCATGCGTGTTCGTATTATTTATTACAATTAACATTTAGTCACCTTCTCTTGGTAAATGTGCCACTGGTTCCATTGTCTTTAGCATCTGCACAAGTTATAAACTTGAGAAAGAAAGAAGCATGACAGCTAAATTGTTCTTTCAGGGCTATTATATTGAACTGTTTTTGGAAATCTATTCCAGGCCTACAAATGATCATCAAACACGACTTAAATATCCGCTCTAAACAGTTTAGTAGCCAGTGCCAGACTCTCAAATAGTATCGAGGTTTTCTCCGGGTACCCCAGTTTTCCCCTCTCCGTAAAAACCAACATTTCTAAATTCCAATTCGATCCGGAATGTTCGAGCGTTTAATACATGAGCCCCTGGCTCGGGAGATTGGGCAACCACTCCTCACGCTATCGAGCTTAAATAAAATTGATTTGATTTTGATTTGATTTGATTCGATCGAGAAAAAGGTCAAAGCCTAATAGCCTCCGAGGGTTTATCGCATCAGTTTTAACGATCTCTGTATATCATAAGCTTAGAGTCTGAAACAGACTAAGCTGGTAGTTATTGGGCTGCCTGTGGCAAAGCCCAATATAGTCCTTGGTAGCGTGTATGTGGAGAAAAGACAAAATTTCGCACGGATACAAAGAGGGCGTTGCGTGTCCCGTCCCCCCCGCAATGCGACTATTACTTGAATTTTAGGGGAAGGGGAATAGTCACTTGCCGGGATAATAAGTACAAACAGCTTTGAAACTATTTAATAAGCAACTTTCTCACGCAGCTGACAGACAACCTGCCCCGTTGTCTCCAATAATTAGGATTCTGAATGCTGACTAAAATATCTTATTTGCCCAAGAGTACATAATGTTTTCATACAATTTTAGAAAATAATAACCTGTTTCAAGTTTTAGATCAAAAAGGTTATTTATAGAGGGGTCCTAACTGGCAAGTTTTAGCCTAACAATTTCTTAAAGTCGCGGGGTTTTGCACCTTCCCTGTATCTTATTCAACTGGCTTTATCAAATGTTTTTCCTCCCGAGTCAAGCCCCTAAAATTTTCTTAGCCATTTATCAAGAATGCTATGGAAGTACTATGGCGAAGTAATAGGTACACTCTCACAAAAGAATAGTGAATAGTTAATAAGAAATTATTGTAAACAAGACATCAGTTTTCGAAAAGCCCTGTACTGTTAGCCAGTCTCATGTTGCTCGGAATTCTTAGAACGGGTATGATATGCAAGTGCGCTGGCGAGCAGAGAGAATTTCGACCAGAAGAGAGAATGTTTTCGCCGACCAGCGGTCTTAAGGGGATGTTAATAGGATACCGAAATTAAATTGATTCCGGAATGAAGTACGAATTATAGTCATGTGATTAAATAGACCGGCTTAGCTTAAGGCGTTCTCCCTCACGAGGTTTTCGCGCCGGATCAGGTACTCATGCGCTATTCACCCCAGACTACACGATGCTTGATTTTCAATCCAGAACAAAGTTCGTTTTCAGTTTACATGATACCGGAATGAAATTGGCATAAGAACGAGCATTTCATTCCGATTGAAAACCTGAATGAACTCATTCCGGAGTGAATGAACGGAAATGAAATATCGTTTTGGTATCATGTAAAAAAAATATAGAGAAATATATAAAGAATGGAGTAAACTTAAAATTGAAAGACATCCCGGTGTTGTATTAATAGCCCCTAAACGTACCGTTGTCTCATTCCACCAAAGGCCATCTTCCAGTCAGCTGTGTTTAGAAAAATTTTTCTTGTAACTCCACCTCTCGCATCAGCTTCATAAGCTGCACCACTGCGCGCCATTCCCGGCCATGGAGCCTGGGGATTAGAGGGTGGTTTTTCTCCGGCTTCCAGTAGGTCCTCCCAAGTTTTTATTTTGTCAGAAGTGTCCCGTACCCTGAAATAAAAACATTACAGCTGAATTATATTACCCGGTCAATCAGTCACGTTATATATCAGTAGATTTTATCAGCACTATTAAAATCAAGACCTTTTTAAAACCTTTTATAATCTTCGAAAATTTAAGGTGGCTTTGTGACCTCGAGACATAATTGTTTTATTATGTTTGCTTAAAAAGGTACGGTTGACTCTCTCTAAGAAGAATACCTTCGGGCCCCGGCACTAACTGTACATCTTAGAGAGGTGTCCGGAGATTCGAGGTAACGTGGCTTTACCAGAAAAGCTGTACCTATTAGCAATGAACACACGACCTCGACTGTTTAATTTGTTCCAAACAGATTATGACTGGAACATTGTAACAGGAAAGTGGAACTATTTTCTTATTGTGCAATCATGATCAAACGTTCATGACAAGTATACGTTCACGGCTTCTTGGTCTAAACGCGTAACAGTATACCCTCAAACATTTTGCAATTTAGTGTCATGCATGTAGAGCACCTACTTTTCCGATCTGAGGTGGTTTCCCGCTGCGTAAAGCACTTCTCACTTGTCCATTGATGGTTTGAAAAGTGTCCGTTGTCCGTCTTAGAGAGGTGTCCGTCTTATAGAGAGCGTAGTTACAATCAAATAATTGAAAAACGGCAGGGACTAACATTGGGTGTCCGTTTAAAGAGATCTTTGTATATCAGTTGCAATGTCAATGGGGTTCGCTGAATTGTGTTTGAGTTATAAGCCATTAAAGATGACATTAACACCCCGTTTACATGGAGTGGGGGACCCCGGTCTAGTGGGGTAAGTTTCTTTTGTTTTGTGTCCCACAGAGCGTGAAAACAAAAGAAACCAACACCACTAGACCGGGGTCCCCCACTCCATGTAAACAGGTCCTAAAATGACAAGGCTATGGTAGCTGTTTATTTTATTTACATAAAATAATTCTCTATTACAGTGGAAACTCGATTTAACGAAGTGCCAAGGGACGGGAAATTTTTTTCGTTATATTGAGGGTTCGTTATTATCGAACACCTCCATTATTTAAGGAATTTTCGGGAAAACTACCAAAATGATCGTTATAACGAGGTGAAGTTAATAATTAATTTACAAAATCCAGCATTTCCGGATCTGAAAACTTACTGTTATAACATTTCATTACCGAGCTATACATAGCTAAGGGACTGGAAACTCAAGAACAGGCAAAGAACCCTTTTTTATGACGTTTCAGCCACGAGAAATTTAAAACGATCTCTCATAAAAATCAGCATTCGGACACAAGAAACTAAATATCCCAAAGTAAATACCGGGAGCTCATACTTTAGCCCCATGCATCCATCTCTAAACCAGGATATGATGAGTTAGCCTGCGAGCAAGCTCTCCGGGGCGTTATGGCAGAGGGGCGGGAAAAGGAACGAGAACTCAGTTGCAACTACGTCTCTGGAATTTAAACATCTGTATCGAAAAAGTCGATGCGAAATGCTTATTGGCGGAGATGACATTAGTAATGACGTCATTACCCTTGACACGTGTTTTTCAATGTTTGTTTACATTCGCTTATTGGCGGAAATCTGAAAGCTCAGTAGCATTGAAATTCCAGAGACGTAGTTGGAAGAAGCGCCCCGGAGAGCTTGATCCAAGGCTAATGATAAGGCAAAAATAAGAGTCATATATAGTGAAAGTAACCTAATATAGGAGGACAAACTTTTGGGGAAAAATAATTGAAAAAAAAAAAATTGGCTTGGTCGGTTGTACATAGGATGCCAAACTTGCCAAACCAGCTGTTGTACTCGTAAAGTCAATTCTGATGGTGAATGCGTAATCAAGGGAGGCGTAGATTACGCTTAAAGGTGTTGCTAAGAGATACATGAAATGTAGAGGTATCGAACTCAACCATTGGCAGAAGAACAACCAACCTGAAATGTCAGAAATATTTTCAAAATATTTTTCCAGTTCTCAGGCGGCTATTTTGTCTTCGGATTGGATGGCTGTGACCTTTTTCGCCATCTTGTGGAGTTCTCTTAACTAAAAACAGGGGTTTCTTACTATAAATCGAGGAAATATACCATCGTACCGATGTAATACTACCCCGGATGTGTCGCCTACCTTGGTTGGAAGGTCTCTCGTCCTGAGATGATAAATGTAACATATTAAAGTGCAGAGACAACTTAGTTTACCGCTGAAGTTTCGCACATATCGATCGTGAACATCTCTAGAAAAAACAAGAAAAAGAAAAAAAAAAGATTTCGCTAAACCAGGACAATAGGTGGTGATCACACCAGGACTAGAGTTAAATTATAATAAGCCATTTGCACGATGACATCATTTTACTACTACGACCAGAATCCTTCAGATATTGCTTTCTAGTGCAAATTAGGGCTTTTGTTATTTAAACCTCGCTGGAATTGCCAAATTTAAATATGAAAAGAAAAACGACGAGGATCCTGGTCGTAGTAGTAAAATGACGCCATCGTACAAATGGCCTATTGAAATAGCGGTTACAACAGAGGCAAACAAGGATCAATCGTCTTAAGGTATCTTTTCAACTTCTTAATAAGTCACACAGGCGTGGTTACACGCTCTTCCGTTTAGCAAGAATACTATACCCTAAAAACTGACTTTTCGATCTAATAATCGAATGGCAGTTTGACAAGAAAAGGTAGGCGAAGAACCATTCATTGGGTCAAGAGAGGATAAAGAGGACAGAGAAGGCATCCCCCATACACACCCTATTCCATAGGTAATTCGTCTCCAGTTATTTTTAGAATCAGGATTAAGTTACCTCGCTTGCTGCGTGGATGTTTCGTAGAGGTTTTGCTTGACTAAACGTCGTGCAAAACAGAGATAGAGATCGAGAGATCGAGAGCATTCCTGAATATTGAAGCGAAATGAGTCGGCACTCACCTGGGAAAAGGGAATCGCTCCATCTCCTCTTCGGAAAGACTCTTGTTCCGTTTATTTGATTTCTTCGGCGCCTTTTTGTTTGATTTCGTGACGGTCGAACTCGAAGGCGCAGGTTTAGGCTTCCCTGCACTTTTCCTCCTCTTCGCTTCATCTGCTGGACTATCATCGGAATAGGGGCTTTCTACGTTTTCTTGTAAACTATTTCATTGCATGGCACTCTCCGTTTCGGTTACAGCTTCCTCCTCACTTCCACTGACTTTTTCATCTTCTTCGCTAGAACTCACAGCTTCGTAACAATGCTTAGAAACAAGCCAGGAAGGGCGATTCTTTTTTAATTTCCGTTTCGCTGACACAGCTTTAGCAGAAATCTCTCTGTAGTCGTTTTCGTCGACAAAACGAATAGCAATATCGCTCTCCGCGTCTTCCCCCATTTTGTTCCGCGTCAATTCGTGAAGGACGCGTGGCTCTGAGCGTGGGTCATCCACGCGGAACACATTCGCGCTATGTGATTGGCTGTTGTCTAATCCCCCTTGGGATCTGTGGTCTCAAAAATAACTCAAGACGAATTACCTATGGAATAGGGAGTGTATGGGGGATGCCTTCTCTGTCCCCTTTATCCTCTCTTGACTGGGTATAACTGCAGTGGGCCTCTACGTCCAGTGGACGTCTTTTGTCAAGCGTTTTCCATCAAATAGCTGGTTTCTTCAACAAAATTGTTGGTTAACGCTACTTGCGAGCTTGAGCAACCACAACAACGACAATGGAAAGACAAAATAATAATAATAATAATAATAATAATAATAATAATAATAATAAATAATAATAATAATGATAATTATAATAGGACGTTTTTAAGCACATAGGATGTTTTTTGAGCCACACACTTCAACCGGATGTGGCGTTTTTGCAATCTTGGGGCGCCTATTTCACCATTTTTTTTCCTCAAATCGTTTCCTTGACAGAAAAGACACTAAAGAATACAAATTTGGTAGCATCAAGGCATTTTAAAAGGGTAAAGGATTCACTTCCGTTTGACATGGATTACTCAAAAACGTCTTTGCTTAAACTTCCTTATAATGAAACTAGAACAAAAACGCGAAGCAGGCGCGGATCTAGGATTAATACTGACCGATTTCCTAAACGAGCGCCGAAGGCCCAAGCTTTTGCGGGGTCCGGGGGCATGTCCCAATGGGAAATTTTTTTCGATTTTAACTTCCCAAAGTCCCCTTTCTTGGGTTTCTGAGTCATTCAGACAGGATAATTTGACCAGTCCTTCTCCTCGGATGAAGCCTTGCAACTTTGATTTGAAGCCTTGCAACTTTCATGTTCAGACTTGATTTCACTTGGTAAAGCAGGAATTAGTTCATCTCCAAGTAAAGGTGCATCCAAACGTTCAGATGGTCTCATCTTATTCAGCATCGTCTTTAGTTTATCTGCATGGCGACATAGCACACTCGGCCTGCTTTTGACTCGATTCTTTCATCGCTTCAACGTACTAAAAAAAAGAGCAAACCTTTGAAGGACAAATTATAAACATTTTTTAAGGATAAAATGTAAAATACATTTGAACGCGCCCATGTGCGATCTCCTCTCATAAGGGATCACCTTCCATAAGCGACCATCTATCCAAAAACATCAAAACTTTTCCCAATCAAAACCCTGTAATTATTTACCATACATTCATTTGTACAGACATAACCTATTACACTACTACAAGGCAGGAGATCAAGCAAGCTCTGTAGAGCTTTTAGACGATCTCCACTTTATTCTAACCAGAAAACGACCACCTATAGTAAGCGACCGCTACGGACCACTTTTGGGCGAGACAGTTTTGTAATTTTTTAACCTATTGTAGGTGACCAACTGACCCGTGGTCTAATCTCTATGTTCACAATCAGTACTAGGCTTCCAAGAGTATACAGAACTTTTATAAGTGACAACGTGGAACCTCACATATACAAACTGCAAGTAAGCAATCTTTGCTTAAAAGCAGATGTCTTGGGACCTCTTCTCGTAAGAGACTCTTATAGTTCGATACTCGCAGGCAACCACCTAATCTTCTCCCTTTAGGCGGTCGCTTACGGGAAGCTCGACTGTGAGGGAATCCATGAAAGGGAGTCCTAGTCTTGGATTCTGTATTATGCGGTGTGGATTCTGGATTACCGGATTCTGCGCCAGTGGAATTTGGTTTCCGGATTACAGGCAGCAGGATTCAGGATTCCTTAGAATGTGTTCCGGATTTCCAAAACCAAGGATTCCTGATTCAACAGCAAATATTGCTGGATTCCGGATTCAGTCAAGTAAAAATTTTCCGGATTCCGTAATCCGGATTCTCTTTCATGGGTCGACTCTCTGTAATGTTATGTAAAGCGATGATTTGGAGTAGAGATGAAAGAGGTTCATTTTACTTACCATGAGCATGAAATCCTCCTTTTTAAGACATTCTTGAAACGTTTGACACGCTCGCAAAGCCGATAATCTTCCCCGGTATTGAAAAAGCTTTTCTTTGATCCCACTCAATCCACCTTGGTCTTGAAACGAGAAACACGCCCTGTTCTTTGATCCTTGTAATTTCTGTTTCTACAAAAGTGTAAACCAATAATTCAGAACAAAAAGGTTACCGTAAAATTCAGAAAATAAGTCCCGGGGCTTATACTTTTCAAAGGCCCTTTTTGAGAGGCTTATTTTTGGAGGGGCTTATATTCGGAGGGGCTTTTGTATGGAGGGAAATTTGCGTTTCAAAGTCGATTGGGCTAGCTTTATAGTTGGAAGGAAATGTACCGTTTTGCTTTGTTTTACTTTGTATTTGAAGGCAATTTCTAAGTACAAGTCCCCGGGGGGCTTGTATTTGGAGGGGCCTTTTAACGGAGGGTTTTTTGCGTTACGAGTTTGGGGGGCTTATACATGGAGGGGCCTATTTTTGGAATTTTACGGTATTCTAAATATAAAAAAAAGGAAATGTGCTTTTTATTATTGACCTATGAGCTAAACCAATTGTATAAAGTTTACTTGACTATTAAAGAAAGAACCGAAACATGCTTTAAGCAAAATTCCAATTTCTTCAACCTTGGGTTTTTCCAAACTCCCCCTTGGCACTTTTGAAGAAAACGTAAATTCTGAAGTTCAAAAGCCAACTGACGTTTGCGTACTTCACTGCCGTCAATCATCTTAACGGAACTCTAAGGAAACAGAAGTTTGTGATTTGTGATTGGTGGATTTCGATCCTCTTTGTGTCTCTCTGCGTAGCTTCTTTGCTTGTGATCGTAATTATGTTGACGGCAGCCAAAAGCGCAATTGTGAAGACAGCTGTTAAACTTCAGTGTTGGGGTGTTTGTGAAAAGCGCAGTAATCATGATCAGAACCCAAAACTGACTTTCAATCGCAACTAAAACACAGCAGTTTAGTACCCCTCTATGTTCTCTTACAACATGGTAATAAAGACACTCTGCCCGAATATTTAGGCAAAACCTCTGAAGAACAATGTAAGTGCATTGCACAAAAACGTCTTGGCTTAAGATCTCAGATGCCCTGTTATGATTATCATTATCTACGCTTTGGAATTCCACAGGGGTCTGTCCTCGGCCCGATGCTTTATCTGCTGTACACGTCGCCTTTTGAGGACATCATCAAACCCCATAACCTTGATCCACTCCCACTTTTACGCTAAACAATATTCAGCTCTATTTGGCCAGCATAAGCCTAATGCAGTTGTTAATGACAATTTCATTAAGAATGAGATGTGTATTTAACTTTTAAAAGTATACATAATTTACAGTAATGTTTAAATCTGTGACTATTAAGTTTTATAACTACAATACTGACGATTACATTTTATGACAGTTATACTAACTACATGAGAAGTAACTGCAATTTGATTGGCTTAGAGCAGTGGTATTTCAGCTTAATTTGAAATACCTACATGTGAAAATTGCAAACCTTTTGCGGGTAGTAGTATAAACAAATAATAGCTTGATTTGTAGGTGATATTTGGCATAAATATCACTTGTGATATATCAAAATTGTCTCAAATTTCACTCGCCTAACGGCTCGTGAAATTACGTATAACAATTTTGAAACATCACTCATGGTTGTAATGCCAAATATCACTACAAATCATGCTATTACCTATACAAACTAGAAAAATTCAGTGTCGATAACTCGCTACATTCCTTGCGGCTCACATGCGATCATTTTTGGTAGGAAAATATTTCTTGCATGCACACAGTTCAGTGTTTCAAATAAGTCATGACAAAAAATCATCCGTTTCTGATATTGAAAAACAACAACTGAACAACAACAACAACATATTAAACTGAATAAAACCTTAGTCGTATTCCTAAATGGCCCCTTCTACATTTTCGAAGTGGATAATATCATCATCATTTATTATCTACTATTGAGTTTACTACAAAAAAAAAAAAAAAAAAAGAGCAAAAAGTTCTCTTAAACCGCAGAAGAATTGTATTTTCACCTTACCGAAGGCGTACGCTGAATGAACTGACGTACGCAACAGGACGGGAGGGGTGTCTGTAAAACGCGGACCGCAGATACCTGCGGATGGCGGATGCGGATAGGAAAATGCGGATGGAAAAATGCGGAAAGAGGCCAAAAAAGTGAAAAGAATAAAACGACTGCGGATGGCAAAAATAATTAAATAAACAAACAAACAAAGGAAAGAAATATTTCTTTCAAGTCTCGAAGTCGCGAAGTTGAGACCTTCATGTACAGTACGCTTTGTCAGTAGTTGGCACAGGTTACTCAGGGTTTTTTCTCAATTCTTTGAAACCTGTAATTCCTTTCATTAATGTCACAGAAACAAGGACACTTCGTTCTCCCTCCTTAAAACCACGCATGCTATGGTGCACTTCTCCTTTGATCACATAGCCTGGATATAGCGTACTCAACTAACAGAAGAGAAAATATTCTCTGGGCAATCAAATCGAGAATTGTTTGTTTGAGCGCCTCGAGACAAAAAAACGCAGCGTCAAAACTAAGAAAAAGGCGGAACGTAGGTATGTAACTTTCCGATTTGGCAGATGTCCATCAACTCCGCCTATCGTGTGAATTTATTTTTTACAAGTTATACCTTTTGGGAATTTGTAAGTGCACGAATTATAAATTCGAATTTTAAAACCGCAAAATATACTGCCGATTGAAAAGAAAAAACAGACTTGATCAAACGTGATTAATTGCAAAAGTTATTTCCCGAAAAGTGCAAGAAAAAAACGCCTAATCTTAAAGCAACCTAAAAATCAAACTCCCACAAAAAAGTGTCCTTAGTGAAACACATTAATGAACGCTACTTTTTGTTTCATTTGTTTTTGTTTTTAATTTTCATCCAAACAAAATAGTTTCCAAAACATATCTTTAGCGATGTTTTAGAACGTCTGTATCGAGCAACCTAAAACTCGTCATTAGAAACGTGACAGACAGAATTCGGAATCGAAAATGTATGATATTCCGTTTCTTTGGACAGCTCTCGTCTATCCGGGACGCAGCAACCGAACATAAAACTGCTTCTTACTGAGTAACAAGCCTTTATAAAGATTTAAACAATGTCTACACCAGATCACCCCTTTTTGTTTGTCACATAAATTCATACACTGTTTAAAGGTAGCCATTACGACACCTGAAGGAGGATCATGAGGTTATCGCTATATTGAGATCTCTCCTTCCAGATGACCCACCCGGCCCAGGAAAGGTTGAAAGTGCTGTGAGAGGGACCTACGGGTTTTCCTCTTTATCCGACAAGACTAGAAAGTGTAACCGTTTGCAGATGTCATTACAAAGGCCGCACTTTCTTCTCAGTTATTTAAAGACCCTGAGTATTCGTCCAGCCAGGGTTCAAACCCGCCCCCTCCCACCCAGCAGACCGGCGCTATGCCAACTGAGCTAACCAGTCACCAGGTGGCGGTTTCATTGATAGAACCTTTGCGTAAAATTGTGAAAAAAAAAACGAAGGCTAGACAAATGCCTCTGTTGAGGGTGCGGCATATGGCTTGAAAAAGATTCTCTGTGGAAAAACCCTCATTAAACAAGACCTATTCACCCAAAACCAGAAGAAAAATAAGGATTTGTAGATATCAAGTCAAGAAACATATCTTTTACGTCTCATCTCTTGCGTTGAGCATGTGGCAGCCTCTCTCCTTTAAAGTCGTCAAGAACAAACCGCAGATTTAAAAGGACCCAGTTTGCGCAGGAAATTAGAAAAGACCCGAAAATGTAAAAGAAAACCATTAGTGTAACAGTAACTTACCTTTTGATCTCAAAAACGGCCAGTTCAGAGTCACGCTCTGAACTGTCTTATGGAGAGTTGACCGGAGTCCAGGCAGATCGAGTGTGCCAGCGTTACATGAAGAGCCTTTTCAATACCAGGCTCCTTTGTGGGGAAACAGGGCGATTTACAAGGCGAGCGCGAAATAGGCGAACTTTAAATAAGTGTTTTCTCTGTGATGATGGATATCAAACTATTATTTATAATCGGGATTTAAATATAACAGAACCATAAACGAAAACACATGCTTTAGTAAAATTTATGTATCCAAAATATTATTATTATACTATTGTCTGCAATTTTTTCTATCCGCATTTTTCTATCCGCATTTTTCTATCCGCATTTTTCCATCCGCGTCCGCCGTCCGCATCCGTCATCCGCAGGTATCCGGTCCGCGTTTTACAGACACCCGGACGGAAGAGGGAAGAAGACGGCAAACCTTAATGTGTGACAAGTGCGACAATAATTTTGTTTGAAAAAACCTTCCTCTAAACTTCACCTTCCTTTAAATGGATCTTTTTTTTGTAAAAGACTGGAAAAAAATTACGCTCCTCTTCTTCCTGCCGTCCTGTTGCGATGTGAAAACAATAATTTTCCATTACTTATAACAGAATGTGGGTTTCTCGCCCTACCTTTTGACTTGTTTCCACACGATCTTCGTCCTTCTTTTTCTCTTGTTCACAAAGATCAGCAGCAAGACTAGAATTTTTGCACTGAAACAATAACAATAACAAATAAGTTTATCTCTTTTTTTTTTTTTTGGAAGTTGTGGTGCATTCTTATTGTTTAGATTGAATGAAGGGTTAGCTATGCTTCATTATCATTTGAACCATGCAAAATGATACCATAAAATCATAAGAATGATGAATAATAATATCTTTTGATAACATCGTAATCTTTACAAATAATGGTATGATGAGCTGAAACAAGTAGCAACCTTCCATGCGTTGTCAAGGTGAATTTTACCGGGTGAGATAACTCAGAGTAACTACTTGCACTCAGGGTGACAGGAAATATTTTTCAAAAGAAGGAATTTTTCTAACTCCTCTATTTAAAAAAAGCTGTACGACATGCTGATATTAAGACATGACGAAGAGGGATGTCATGCAGTGCATGCGCATGTTCTGACATGGATATCCATGGTTCTGTAAACAAAGTTAGATTTGGTTTTCAAATCAGGGACACTGCTGCATTTCTCCTGGCGTATTGTTGTGGTATATTAAATGCTTATATGTACCCTAGCTGATTCTAGAGAATAAAGTAGTGAATTGGTTTAAATGAGAATGTCTTTTCAGTTTTTAGAATGAGAATAAATGTCAATATATGAGTGAAACAATCGTGTTTTGAAGCTTTTAACCTACCTTCTCCTGGCTCCGTTCACCGTCAACTGTTTTCACTACGAGGTCTTTTACATCCAAACAAACATCTCCAACTGAAGCATACGGAACATGTGCCGGCGTATATAAACCTCGAACACTCTGTTTTACATTACGATTGTACTTTTCTCGCCAATGGTCTTCCGGTAATTGTGATTTGTAACGACAACCCGTTCGAATTCGGACTTTTCGCTCGCCATGCGGCGCGACGAAAGGCGGTTGAAACTCAGATCGAAAATTTTGTTTCAAACATCGAACAATGTCTGCGTAAAGTTGATTATCCGATTTTTGAAGCACGACCATGTTCCAATTACGCCAATATTTTCATTAAAAAAGGCGATGTGGTACAAACAGTAGCACAAAACAAATGCGAACTAAAACCTTCAAAACTTACAGTTACCATAGGGACGTTTCATGACGAATTGTGGTGACGCGGCACTTTCGAACACTTGGAGCACTCTGCGCGCGCAGTGCAAAAAGGAACCGAACAAGAATGAAAACCGACGTCGAAAAAAAAATAATGGTCGAGTGAAAAATAGAAAAGGAGTGCAGAAAGAAGAGGGCGGCAAAACGTTTGTTTATGACAAACGTAACAGGGCTATTACTTGCGCGTTTTCTCGTGATCTTCACTTAACGTTGTGTTCTTAGCGGAGTTCCACGCGCGGCGCTTTGCGTTATTGGGTTAATTTTGGTGCGATTTTGCGGTAATTTGTTTTTCAAAGTACGGTGTTGCGGTTTTCAGAGTCCAACTATGCGGTCATTTTAAATTTTATGACGCGGTAATCGGGGAAAAAATTGTTGTCACGCTGTGATCTGCTTCATTTCTTTAAAGCATGACAACTATAAAAATCTATGGGTTCCTGACAAAACCTAAAAGGAGTCCTAAAAGGTCTCCCCCCTAGCCTGCGTGTCTCCCTAGTTGCACAGTCGGGGACCGTCATGATTGCGCAAAGAGAGTCCAGACAATGCGCTCTTTTCGCAGGAAAAAGTGCCCTAAAATGTGTTCTTGGCTAACGTTCTTACCGACCTTACCGTCTTTTTCGTGCCAGTCGCGAAACAATGGCGAGCGATCCAGATGGTAAACAGAGTGACTAGTCAGATAATCCGGTAAATAGTGAGGTCGTTATGAATTGCGTAGCAATTTTCTACGAAGAAGGAAAAGGGGGCGAAAATTACAGAAAAAAAAAAAGTTCCGTTGTTTGGTAAATCGAGGGGAGAAGAGGCTAGGGAAATTCAGGGAAACCGTTTGGTAAGTACTACCTGATTGTACTTACTCCTACCTCAACAGCACATCGATTATCGACATTTTCCTGTCCTACAGTGTACTTGAAAAAATGGACTGACAGTTATCGGACCTTATCGTATATGAGTTTCACTGAAAACGTTTGATATTAACAAAGACGATTGCGATGGTCGGAGGTGTATGTTTATCGTATGCTTAACATCGACGCACCTTAATTTGGAAACACTATTCAAAAGGCGGATTTTAGTCTTGAGAACGGCAACTTCTTGATGCGGTATTGCGGTTTTCTCTCTCTACCACATGCGGTATTGCGGTATTCGTACCCCCCCTTACGCCCACCTCCTTTTGCGAAAAGATCTTCTGAATTGAAGTTTGGCGGAATTTTTTTTCAAAAATTACTGATTGTCACTCTTGTTACAGAAGGTTTGCTGTCTCCTTTCCTCTGCCGTCCTATTGCTTATTAAAGTTCACTTTTTTGAAGAACAAGTCATTGGCCTTCATGTTTTGCAGAAAGATCACGAGCTGTTTTTGCCTTTTTTACATACCATAAACGCGACAGATGACACATGAAATATGAGCGCGTTTTTATGTTGTTGGTTGTTTGTTTTTCTTTTATCTCCTAAGTAGTTATAAAAGAGCCTGGGGGCAACATAAAGCTTGTCTGGGATTGAAAGTGATTCGGCACAACCAAGCAAAAAAAGAACAACAAACAAAAAATTTCATTTAGCAAGATATGAGGTCAAGCAAGTGCATATCTTGTCACACAACCGGAGTTTAAAAATGCGAAGACGTCCAATGACACTCAATCCGATATTGGAAAACCACCTGACCGTCACATAACGTTTCACGCATTGTGTCTGTCCATCTTCATTGTTATTTCAAATCGTCTTTTGTAGCCAGAGGCATATATATATGCTTCTGTTGTAGCTTTATAGCGGAGCTCTCGCGCGCGAAGCGCGCCAGCGGAGCACCATGGGTAAGAAAATGAAGTAATCTACCCATCCGAGAAAATTTGGTAATCACGTGACCGTACACCGACCGATCGCCCGCCCAAGCGACTGTCCGTCCGCACCACAGGCATACCAATGTAAAATAACTCAATCAACAGGTTTGGCAACCCAAATACAACTCGAGGTTATTTTGGCGCGAAATCGCATAGCCACCGGCGTCTTGTAAAGGAGAGACAACTAAAGAGTCCATAAAGACGAAAACGGAAAGCGGAAATTGTTTCTGTATCTGTGTTGTCTAGAGTATTTAGTTTAGACTAATTGTCATGTCCACAAATTTGGAATAGAGAGCAGGGGAAAGACAGAGAAAAAGAGAAAGTAGGCGGCAGGCCAGCGAAGCTCAACGAGAAAAAGGGCGACAGAGGTCTAGAGCGAGAGATAAAAAACAAAGCAGACATTTTTTTGTTGGAAGAACAACATGAAAATTTTGTAGCGACGGTGACAAAATGGGAAATGCTAGCGGCCACCTATGCAAGGTCAAAATATGCGGCAGTCAAAAAAAGTGAACGAGAACATGTACGACATTTCCTCCATAAAACGTGTAGCTAAGAAGTTTCTGGAAGTTTCACGATGTAGTCGTGCAAAACAACGGCAAAGAAATGTACAAAAAAAGTGTGCTGCACGTGCAAAGTTGCTTTTTTTGCTAATTAGAACTATTGTTGTTTTTCACCATTCTCCGGCGTTGCTTTCGCCGCTTAGCATTACACGATTTTATATTTTTTTGAACAAACTACAAATATTATCGAGAGCTTCGCTTTTAGCCCTGGCTAAATCTATGTATTATTTTTTACACTTTTTTTAAAACACTGGGACCACTTTATTTGGCTTACCACTGTTGTGGTATCCCTATTTACATAGGCTAGTGTAACTTCACTGATCATAAAGCCATTCCTGCCTCCACTTTGAGTGACCAACAACGATTTTATCCTAACATCATCACAGCATCATAAAATGAAAAGGTTCTGAGAATTGTTAAAAAGATCAAAATCGAGTAAATGCTTTGATCATGACACAAATCATTCTCGAATAATCCTTTCAGAAAATGTATAAACTAGGACAGTCTGGACAATTTGTTTGTTAATATTGGGGTTTAAAGGGGTTAAGCGCCCCCCCTCCCCGACAAGCAAGACCTTTAAAATTATTGTCACAGAGCGATTTGTTGCACAACAGCAAATATCTTTACTGTTCAATTTAGAACACCATGAACTGCACCTAAAAATGTTCAGCAACATGTGTTGGAACCAATGATTACAATTCTGTGAGCTAGTCAAAACACCACAAACTAATCACCGTTGTTGATTGTACTTTATTTTTCCCACACTGCACCTGATTGGTTTATTCCTTGTGACACAATAACATTCCAGCAATGTTTTGAAACTGCCCTATAATAATTTATTATTTCTTGCCCGTAGAGTTCTCGAACTAAAATGTTCAGTGTGTGATATTAAATCAACTGATAATAAAAACAACTTTGTAAAAACCATGTATTATTTAAAAATTGATTTGCTTTAGTTTCTCAGAAATACTGCTCATGCAATAGAATAATTACTAAAGGCTTGCTGCTCCAGTCTTACATCATAGCATAGCATCAATTTCCAACCCAGCCCGTTACACACACCCTCCCAGCCCCAACCACTCAAATACGCCTGAAGACAATTAATAAGGAATGGTAACAGAAAGTACGTCAGGTACCATTGCGTAAACACTATTCCCCGTACTAACATCAAATGCAGTGGAGCCTTGAAGACACAGCCAACCTCTGTAATTAGTCTGGGCCCAGGCTCCGCATTGGGGGAAAAGGAGAGAAAAATTGGTTTTGGCAAAAAAAAAAAATAAATAAATAAAAATTGGCGAGTGAAGCGAGCCAAGCGGTAGTCCTCCCCACCACTAAGCTTGCTTCGATAACACTGCTATTAAATAAATAAATAATGTGACCCTATTTGGGAAAACCGGGCTTAATGAAATTTGCGTTGAAAAGCATTTCAACGCATTTTGAATGCATTACAATGCATTGAAACGGATTCCAATGATTCTCAACGCATTTACAACGTTTTCCTTCAAACGCAGGCAATTGTTTTCAACGTTTTAAAATGTTTTTCCAACGTTTTAGGATGTTTTTTCAACGTTGTTCAATGCATTGGCAATGCTTCCAAACGTTTTTTTTTTTATCGATAAAATTAGTCCCTGAAGTTCAACCCAGGATGCGAAAATTTATCATTAATTGAAGCCACTGATGATTAGACATCGATACGCTTGAGAACGTTCTTTGAAAATACAACTTTTTTTCAGGAACAGTAATGATACCTCCATATAACAGTAATATCAACGGGAATAACGACATGAATTCGCAATGGAAAACAAAGGCTTTTACTTTTTGTTCTCGATCGGTTCAAATCAATTTGCATAGAACTTCGATCTTTGTGACATTGCGTGTGTTTGATGTTGTTTCAGGTTGTAACATGTCAAGAGGTAATTGAGAAAAGCATGAAATTACTTTCTTGGACTTTCAAATCTGGAAATAAAGGAGAGAAGTTTTTGAGAAGTTTCTTAAAACTGTAAGGCTGACTGTTGAGGTCGTGCATTTCTTCTTGTACGTAGCTGGCTGACAGAATTTTGGGGTTGCCAATTATTTGCCCTTTTCTACCTTCGTCAGCGGCGTGCTAGACTGCTTGCAGTCGGTGAATTCTCACATCCCTTTCAAAAT